TTATTATGGACGAAATGTTGGAATTATTTAAATCTCAATCGTTGAGATTACTTCAAATATAACTTTCATATATAATGACTTCTTTATAATCGGCGCCCAATTTTTGTCAAAATAACTTACTTACTTACGCCTGTTACTCCTGGTGGAGGAGCATAGGCCGCTCACTAGCACTGTCCATCCAACTCTGTCCTGGCCAATCCTTCCCAGCTCTTTGCAGTTGTTATTCATTCTTTTCATATCTGCTTCTATTTCCCAATGTAATGTGTTCTTTGGCCTTCCTCTTATCCGCTTCCCTTCAGAATTCCAAGTTAGGACGTGCCTCGTGATGTAGTTTGATGATTTTCCCAATGTACGTCTTATCCATTTCTATCGTCTTTTCTTGATTTCCTCTTTTTTTTGTCAAACTATTCGTCCTAATATTGATGAATATTCGTATGGTTAGGGAATTGTAGATAATTGGCAAAAAATGGTTGGTTTCATCTTTTGTTTTCTCAATTTGTAATAACTTATCTATAATATGTGTAAGTCTTGGCTTTTTACGTCACAAATCATTAAGTGTTTGGAAAGTTACTTCTACCAATACTATTATGATGTGTGCTACTTATATCAACAGACATAAGTAGTATGTAGTACCAATCAGAAGTGGAATAAATTAGTTGTCCCCACTTGAATTCTCGTTCACTACACTACTACTTTGACTAATGAATATGCTATTCTCGATATCAATTAATTAATAATTCTAAAAATACATTATTAACCGTAATGGTTTATAAAATACTGTACTAATGAAGTTTACATTTTGATAAAATAAAGGCTTGTTCCTAATAACTCTGTACAATAATGATTAATATCAGAAAGGGTTTTTGTGAATATTACAGTCATTTTAATAGTTGAGATCATGAGTCCATTGAAGCTAGACAATCATGGAAAACCTGAGAGCACTGGACGGCCGTTTTGTTCCAGCATGGAACTCCTCGGCAGTGCGCATCCACGACACCTCATCGCAAGATTCAGACACAGGATGCCGGCTCAGTGGTCTAGTGGTTAAGCCATAAATAAAATGATTTATCAACGCCAAGGAAGAGATAAGGTGTTACAAATTAGTTATGAACACACTCACTTGGATTGTTGGCTCGAATTCCTATAGCTTTTGCTCTGTGTAAGAGACGAGATCAAACAGCATAAAGAAAACTGGTTGGAATTCATGTTAGGAATACATGACTGCTGTCGATCAAATGTAATAGAACCAAGCTGCGTAATGACCTGATAGTACCTTTACCTAACCACGAAGGTGTTCACTAACTCTTTTGTTCAGTTATCTGGTAGTGCACCCACAGAAGCAGCTGAATTCGTAGATACACATAGAAGTGGGATAACCACGTAACTTATCCTTTAGTTGGGAAATCACCATAAATCGGGTCGAATACGATAGAATAGAAATATAATAGCTTCACGATCTAATTATCTAATTACTTCTTATCACGTAATCTTATAATTTTTATGAATGTTATTTCAGTGTCTAAATTGTTTCCAATCATTAATCTATTTCCCATGACGTAACGTTGATTCAATCCTTTATTATTCATATCCAAACTAGTATACCTGTCATCATACTATCAATCTGTACTTTTCTCTCATTATGTAATCTATTCCATTGTTATCATCATTGACTCATAAACTACCTTGATTAGTTTAATCATTTCATATTCCTTATATAAATACATTACTGTACATTAGAGTAAAGCCTAATGAGGATCTAATCGAAAACAATATTGTTTCACTTATAACTATGTTGTTCTAAATAAAACTGGGCAGTAAAATTGTCATTTGATTTAATCGTTCTTTTTTTGAACAATCAAATTGTATGATAAAAGAAAAGGATCATTCCATTGTTATTTATTTACATGAAGATAACAAGTTAATGAACGATATATATACATCAAAAAGAAAAAAGAAGAAAAGAAAAAAGAAGAAAAAAGAAAAGAATAGAAACAACTATCTCATGAACAATTGTCAAACGTTATTGATTCCGTTTATTAGGGATTATCAATACCTATATCTATATATCTATATATTGATGGATTGATTAGATTCATCATTTTTGATTCCTTATTGTTTTATTAAATATAATCAACAATTCAAATGAGATCATCAAAACAAAAAGAAAAAAACTTTTTTTCTTTTCTTATTTCTTCTATGAGTTGCCAATCAAACTGATCTATCTTGTCTTGTTTGTTGTTATGCCATTCAAAATGGGACATATATATGTATGTATATATAATAATGTAATATGGGCAATATTGACATAATAATGACAGATGGGATATTAATTAATTTCAAGGAGAAAATAATGATGATTGTTGATTTATGTATCCTACAATATGGATTGATAAACTTTGAGTTGGTTTTAGAAATTTAGTAGTCAAAGAAAATAAAATATTCATCATAAAAATGTTGATATAATGAATGTTGATTTAGTTTAATGTGTGCTACTGATATAGACAAATATAAGTAGTATGTATCATTAATCGAAAGTGAAATACCTGACATCAGAAGATTAAGTAGATTGAAGTAAAGAGAACGAGAACAGAAAATGATTGTTGTGGAAACAAAAGAACAATGAAATCAGAGACAATTGATTGAGATTTTGCAAATGAAGTATTTACAGTATGATCCTCAAATTTTACTATGAGATTCTGTAACTGTATGTTTAAATATGTTCGATTGTCTCCAGTCGTGTTGTCGTTCACTACACTACTACAGTGATGTACGATACTGATATCGACAGATATATAAGTAGTATTTATCATTAATCGAAAGTAAAATATCTGGTGGCAGAAGGTTAAGAAGATAGAAGAAAAGAGATCGAGAACAGAAAATGATTGGTGTAGGAACAAAAGAACAATGAAGTCTGAGATGATTGAGTGATATTTTTCAAATGACGAATGTTCTACTATATGATTCTCAGATTTTACTAATATATTCTGTAATTTTGTATTGAAATCCACTCGAATGTTCTCACCTGTGTTCTCGTTCACTATATTAGCAATTGATATAAATCGAGAATTGATCTTATTATTTTTGAGTAAAGTAGAAAATATGTATGATTAAGGGAAATTTTAAAATATCCGGTTGTTGATATTCAATAAAGAATTGCGATGTGTCTTCGTTATAATAAGTGTTATCGCATCTGACCAACTCAATGTGCATTTGCCAATTTACCTGCTCTTTTGGAGCTAGGTATATAGGTCGTTTGATGCGCAGTTTATCCAAAAGAATTCAAGAACATTGTCCAGCGTGTCTAAAAAGAGGAGGCAATAGCTCAATAAGACGTTCAATAATCGAACATCTTGTGAACACAGGTCATTCAATCAAGACGGACTATGTGTTCAATGTCATCTACAAGGTAAATAGAAGTCTTTCGAAGACAATTAGACTGCATCTTCTTTGAACTCCCGAAGCATTAGCCATACATCTGGAAAAACCAGAATTATGTGTGCAAAAGAGACTTGTACAACCTCTTCTTCTACCATGTTCTTAATGTCTTACAATTTTTTTTCCCTTTTTCATATTCTTCTTCCTGTACAGCCATTTGCTTCACCTTCCACCTTCCTCTACCCACGACTGGTTTATTTTTGTTTCCATGATCATTCTGATCATATTTAATCTCAATTTCAATATTTTATCTTATCATGCTGAGCTATTCTTTCCCAATGACAATTTCCCTATCTATCTTTTGATGAATCCTAAAGCCATTAACAAGCAAACGATTGTTAAACTTTCCTTGTTTTAAAATTTTTCTAATAACTTTGTTTATTTAGCCTCACTGTCACGATGTCTAACCGAAGTTTATTATCAGCATTATTATCATCCTGTAGAACTCTGAGCTAATCTTTCTTATTTAATGAAATTAATCAGTCACTTATTGGAATATGTTTATTTTGTTTTGATTACTTTGATATTATCTTAATTCACAAGTGAACGGTACTGGATTCGAGTCCCAGGGTGTGGTATCAGCTTTAAGATGCAGGTATGTCTAGCTGACGAGTTCCAAATAGCACGAAACTCACGCTTTGGATTCTACTAATAACCACTATCCATTTTTGCTTATAATGCTTGTGAATTAAGGCTATATCGAGTCAATACGTATAGTATGCACATATGCCATAAGTGATTGATCAATTGCAGTCCCGAACATCAATTAGGAAGATCTAAATAAACAAAACCAAGTGAATCTGATGTAGCGTGCTTCTATAACCAGATATACTATAGTGAAGTCTGAAGAGAAGATTTTATGCTATAGACTAATGCATGTGATTTGAAAAAAGAAATTGCCTCACCGTCAGTAACTTACTTTGACTAAATAGTATAAATGCGAAAAATGAAGTAGAGTATCCACCAATTACTACTATCTTGATGATTGGAGTTGTAGACAGATGACATTAGAAATTTATTAGATATGAGGATAGTTGCTTCTTCCCGATTCCCTATACTGATGGATGATACCTTCAATAGTGAGTTCGTAGGTATCAATTCGAAGGTTGGATTCGATAGTTTCAAATAAATTAAACATTGGATGGAAAGTTAACACATAAGTATGTTTTTAGAGAATTGCACTTATGTATTTACTCTAACGATGTGACTTACATTCAGTCATGAAACGTCAGTTTTTGAATGGTACTCCTTCTGAACAAAAGTGAATGAATTTGGTTAATATGGGTAATAACCGCCTGGAAACCTGACCACACGACCCAGAAAGTACTTACATTTTAGACTAGTCACATAAGATTGTTTGCGAATTATTCGTGATGCATCGATGCTTTGTTAATAACGTCCTACTTTCGATTGTACAAATCTATCGAGTAAAGTGGTGTGTGGTATATTTTGGTTCAAGCTTTTGTAATCCATTCCTTCCGTTATTAATATGCGCTATTGATAAAGATGATAGGTTTTTGAAGGAAAACCTCATATAGTCAGTAATACAGCTTCTCCACTGTACCTTAAGTTACTCCTCTCGATGATGATGATGATGATGATGATGATGATGATGATGATGATGATGATGATGATGATGATGATGATGATGATGATGATGATGATGATGATGATGATGATGATGATGATGATGATGATGATGATGATGATGATGATGATGATGATGATGATGATGATGATGATGATGATGATGATGATGATGATGATGATGATGATGATGATGATGATGATGATGATGATGATGATGATGATGATGATGATGATGATGATGATGATGATGATGATGATGATGATGATGATGATGATGATGATGATGATGATGATGATGATGATGATGATGATGATGATGATGATGATGATGATGATGATGATGATGATGATGATGATGATGATGATGATGATGATGATGATGATGATGATGATGATGATGATGATGATGATGATGATGATGATGATGATGATGATGATGATGATGATGATGATGATGATGATGATGATGATGATGATGATGATGATGATGATGATGATGATGATGATGATGATGATGATGATGATGATGATGATGATGATGATGATGATGATGATGATGATGATGATGATGATGATGATGATGATGATGATGATGATGATGATGATGAAATCATATTGTTTCTGTCATTTATTTTGTAATGGATTTGTTCACAGAGACGTCAGTTTTTGTACATAATTAGAACTTATATGGAATATAAATAAGTTTCTTTTATAATACCCACTCTCAATGTCACTTTTTATGATTAATTGTCATAACTAGCTAGCAATCAATATGCTTAAAATACAATAATCATATCTCAAGAGAATAAAACTTCTACCTGAAGTTTGTGTTGATGACGTCTTTCAGATTAACGATGAAAGCCGCATGACCAAACCATCTAGCTCAGAGAGCAAAACTTCATCAGCATGAAACTATCCTAATACATGTCTAATCCAGGACCATTCATATTCTCAGTTGTCCTTTTTTCATAGATTAATTATAAACCCTAATGCTTATACATATAGAAACAAACACTGTAAATAGTTTGATATTAATCCAGGAAAGGCAGTAATCTATTCTTAAATACCAACTATTTTTTGTTTTGTTTTGTTACTATGTATCGATAATACTGACTATAGAGAATTTAATCTCTACAAATATCAAAGACAATTTTTTTTTGTATTTTATATAGATACTTTTAAATCTACCTGAAATGTCAACTGTCTTGAAATGTGTTATAACAAAACACATGCGTTTTCCACATAGTAACTAACCGTGAAAAAGGTGAATGAATTATAATTTATTAAATTGTGTTATTATAGACAATTTATTATTTAAAGTTATGTTGATTTATTTGTTGAATGTTTCAATTCTTCTTCATTTTGTTGTTGTTCTTAAATTAGAGTTCATTTCTAAATGATCCATTCATTATACTTAAAAGTACATACCAATCGAATCACACTTGATGGACAGGCTGAGGAGCATGTAAAACCCTTTACATATCTGTGCAGCATCAATGATGAACACGGGGGATCTGATACACATGTGAACGCGTGGATTGGCAAAACAAGAGTGGCATATCTACAATTGAAGAATATCTGGAATTCAAAAGAACTCTCTGTCAACTCACAACATCAAAGTCACAATTTCCAGTACAAATGTCAAGACAAATCTACTATATGGGGCGGAAACCTCGAGAACTACGAAATCCGTCATCCACAAGATACAAGTGTTTATCAACAGTTGTCTACGCAAAATACTTTGAATCCGTTGGTCAGACACTATCAGCATCAATCACTAGAGTTGGAGAGAACAAACGAGATTAGAGTGGAGGAAGAAATGAGGAAGAATCGCTGGATGTGGATGGGACCACATTGAGGAAAGCCTTCAGTTTGAATCCTCAGGGTGGAAGGAGAAGAGGGATACCAAAGAACACAATACACCGACAAATGGAGACAGAGATGAGAAGAATGAACAAAAATTGGATAACAGTAGAAAGGAAGGCGCAGGACAGAGTGGGTTGGAGAATGCTTGTCAGCGGCCTATGCTTTATCGGGAGTAACAGGCTTAAGTAAGTACTTAAAAGTAGTGTTAGTTACTATGTTAAGCTCATATTGACTTATTCTACCTTCTGGACAAGGCCAATTTATTCACCCTACTTGAGTCACATTTTGACCTTGTTAACTATTCGCTTATCAGTCTTGAGTGTTTTTATGTAAGCATTTGTGTGTACATTTCTTATCCTATTCATCATATATCTGTAACTTATTTTTGTCTGAATATAAATACTGATTAACGCCTGATTAAATCGAGTTAGCTTACCTGCCATCTCCATCGCGCTTTATTTCGCTTCGCTCTCTTCTCTTCGCTTACTTCGCTTCGTCCCTCTGACTGTCTTTCCAGATCAATGAGTGTACAAAATATACATATTCAAAACTTCATTCTCGTATTTGACTTATTTAATTCTGTTAATCACTAAAGCGGAATAAGTCGACAATAATATACGAGGACAGCGGACATGTGTATCTCAATGGCAATCAATCAAACGATCTATTTGGAGTCAGATCTCGGGTCACTAAAAGGTTATTTTGAAAAAAATAGTTATAGTAGGGGAGTGTAGTCAAAGTTAATGAGAAGTTCCTGTCAAACCACGTGATGTTCTGAGGTTCATTTAAAAAGCAATCTCTGTGTGTGCTTCATAAATTTTGCCCCACAAATTCTGGTAAGCCTAAAGAGGAATATGGAGTACACCCGCCTTCAAAACTATTGAACTCTGTGGGTCACGGCCAATCATGAGAAATTCATAAATCCAACCTTTTTAGTTCTCTAAGCAAGAAATGATCGGTTATCAGCTACTTTACCAACAGTAATCCACAAGTTGGATCAACAAGTACAGTTAAAACTGAATTTGCAAATGGTACGCTAAAATAGAAGATTGATAAAAAGAGATAGTTTACTTAACCTTCCAAATAATAATTACATACAATAGAGATTCTCGATCGACAACTGATGTAGGCTTTAATCGGTTGCACACGATCAAATTAATCTACAGTCGAGGTCAAGTAAAAGTGTCCATGACTTTACAATCATAACGAATTCTATTATTCAGTATCCTCCACAGACATCCTCACGAACAAAGAAATGCATAGACGCCAAGTACGAAACGTGATGAGATCAGAACCAGCCAAAATGAATGCTTAGGTGCTTCAGTACATCAATCTGGTACAATCCAAAGAACCATTGATGACAGTACTACCACATCACTAAAAAGTGGTGTGCTGAAATACGTTATATCGATTAAATTAATCGTTTTCCTGATATAGGAAATTATGGGAAAAATGTGGTCTTTTGGTTTCTCTTATAAAAGCTTACATAGCTCACTTTCATTAGTTATCTTTAACAGTTTGTCTACTTTACAAAGTCCTCTGAGGAATCTGTTAACGTATGACTCTTTTAACTGTGAATCAAATGAACGTCGTACAAAAAAGTATTGAATGTACGTGAAACAAGGAATCAACACTTATCGATCTTATAACACTTTAGACAAAAAATTGGATACAAAGGTGGATAGTTGCTAACAGTAGAGTCCAGGATGCGCGCCACTTCATCTTATCTGGGACTAGTCGGCTAAATGTACCTGCGTCTCACAGTTGATGTTCACTCTGAGACTCGAACTCAGCACCGTTCGCTTCAAACGTCAACGCGTTATCCACTGAGCTACTGAGTCCTGTTAGCCACTTGCTTGTGCAATAGGATGAAGTTTTAATTCACTTAGTGTTGTTTGCTTTAATCTTCCCATTAATGTTTAATGCATGTGAATTAAAGCTATATTGAGGCAATACAGACAGTATGCACATATGCAAATAAGAGACTGATCAATTGCAGTGCTAAACATCCATGGGAAGATTCAAACAAACAATGCCCAGTAAATTTAAAATTGGATATTCGTTTTATTGACTTGATAAAATCACAGATCATCCTAGTTATTGAATACAGTTGAATGCCAATCACCTCGCAAGTACATCTCGTAGAAGATGAAACGAACTTATTAACAGACACAATCCATCTATTCTATCACTTACTTTATATACACAGAATATGGTTACTTATGAGTTTTCCAATAGTATTTTCTAAATTGCAAAATGAACATTTTTAAAAATTCTATCACGGCTTTATTCAATGATACAAATGATCAGTCTTCAGTAATAAAGATAGTAGGTTGGTGAACCTGTGTTAATCTTACAGACCGCCTTCCAGTGAAGGTCAAGCCTCTCCTTGAAAATATTCACTGATGCGGCTGATACCACTTGTTCGGGTAGGGCATTCTAGTTATTGACTAATCGATGAGAAAAACGGGACCCTACTTTAAGTTTATTAGATTCAGATTTGTGGACCTTCGGAGAATATTAGTGCTGGAGGGAGCAAAAAGATAAGACATATTGACACCCAAATCATAATTAAAGATACGAAATGTCAGTATAAGGTCATATCGCATCCTACGATACGACAAGGGAAAAAGGTTTAAGCGTTTTAAGCGCTCATTTTAAGGGCGAGAATACATGATGGTGAAAAGTGTATAGTTTTGATTTCAGTTTCATGTTAGCAAATATATAACTTCATAGATTAGAATAACCTCAAAGGTACAGCTGAATACTATCAGATAGATTGATAGTAAATCATAAAATGGAATCTTTTAAAAATGTTTCTACTATTTTATCAATATGGGGGTTGTGGAAATTGTTCAAGTCAATTAAAATCACAAACTGATTTAAGTAAGCCAATCATTGAAAACTTGAAACCATTAGACGGCTATTTTGTTCAGCTAAAGGACTCCATAGTAGAGTACATCTATAACCCCATCTCCCGCATTCAAACTCATTACCTTCAGTTTTAGTAATTGACCTCTTAATGAGTATAATTCACCAAGTTTCAGTTCGCTTTTTACTCTGATATATTAATTTAAAGTAGAATTATTCATCAAATTACTTGTATTGTGATCATGCTACTAATGTCGATAAATATAAGTAGTATAAATCATCAATCGAAAGTAAAATATCTGGTGGCAGAAGGTTAAGAAGATAGAAGAAAAGAGATCGAGAACAGAAAATGATTGGTGTAGGAATAAAAGAACAATGAAGTCTGAATGATTGAGTGATACTTTTCAAATGACGTATGTTCTACTATATTCTGTAATTTTGTATTGAAATCCACTCGAATGTTCTCACCTGTGTTCTCGTTCACTACAGTATTATCTTACTATCAATAATAAAATGAAGAGGATATATGTGAAAATATCAATGGTCAATGTATACTACCCATTCAAAATAAGTAAGCTGATTTATGGCAAAAAATTGACTATTAAATACAATAATACATAGAAATCATTTTCTGCATATTTGTACTATATTTTCAAGAACATAATCTTTTAAGATACATGATGACTGTAAATGGAAAAGTACTTTATTATGAAAGAAGACATATCCATAAATGTCTTCAAATGCCCTGGTACGGTTGAAGGTTGAGAGAGTTAGCGCACCCTCTCGAAATGCTCTTACATGAACACACGTATACAGCAACTGTCAGGAAAGTCCTACTCATTGCCTTGTCGTGGCATTACTGTTGTTTACGAAATTG